TGAGCATTTCCCTTTAATGGGTACAAGGTTTGCTGTTGAGTACAGGTTAAGGCAATCTAAATCAATATCCAATGGTCTTATTCGCTTTCTGTTTAGAATCTGAGGATGACATCAAGAAGAAAAACCAGACCTTGCCGAGGAAGAAGGTTAAGAACGCCAAAGGGTTGGGGGATCTAATTGTCCCTTTGGCGGGTCTGTAGAAAAAGCAGTTTCTCAACTCAAAAAGGTGAGTTTGTAAAGAAAAGCTGCTAGAGGTAGAAGAACACTGTTTAAAATGCACTTATTCTTTATGCAGGAAGATGTCCAGAGGCACAACAAGGCGGTTCTTCAAAAGGATCGACGAAACGATAAAGGAAAATGCAGTCCATTGAAAGCAATTTTTAACAAATTATGTATACTTATTAAATGGTAGAGAAAGATACTGCTGATGTCGAGAATGACAAAAATATAGAAACCATATGAAGGAGAAAAAGACTTATGGACAGCCTAGTGATCACACTGATAATAGATCTAAGACACCACATTTGGTAGGTCTTACTGACACTACAGAAGCAACGAGTTTACCTCGTAATTTAAAAGAACAATCAGATAATCCTAGTGGTTCTCCAGAAAAATTAAAGGTGAGCAATTTGAATCACAATTTCGTTTACCATACATTGACATCGTTGCTAAAGTTTAATGTTTCAGGGCGAATTGGACGATGATGAGTCTAATGCGCTATGTGGCTGCAAGTCTGCAGAGAGTTTAAAAATTGCCAAGGAAAATCAAAGTATTTTGAAGAATATGCAGCTTAAAGTCGATGCACTTTACACGGTGAGAGTCATGTCAATATTACTAAGGTCCTCAAGTTTGTACTTTGCTAATGCCAAAAGTTTAGCATTGCAGAATAATGGTCCGTCAACTTCAAAAAGTAACTGGTGCTCTGCTGCGGGAATAAATTCAATTGCAAGTGAGGATGGTAACGGAGAAGACACCAGTGGAGGTGTTGAAATCCCCGAAGGGAAGGTAAGTCAATGGTTTTGAACTTTTACAACTTGAAGACCCTGATGAACCGATTGACATATGAAGGACATAATCAGAAAAGAAACAAAGGAAAAATACAGGAGAATCAATTAGAGCAATCAGAAAATCAGAAATCTTGAATTGATAGTGAAATAAGGGCGGGTGGAGAACATAGTGACGCTTTTTGGAATTTCGGGTTTATTCTCTTTTGCGGGGCTCAATGCACTAGGTGTGAGCTTGTATAGGTTCTTTGAACCTTTGCCGAGGTAAATGGACCATTGGTTGCCTAGAATAAAAATTTGAAGATCCTTAGAAGTGGGTCAAAAGCAAGCCCTGCATTTGTCACTTAGTGCCCCGGCCCGGAATATCTACGTAACTTTCACGCTCTAAAAGGATAGTTCTAATAGAATTACATTATTTTTATGATTGTATTGAGAAATAAACAGTACGAAGCAACAGAAAATATTTTTTTTTCGTTTTGAAACCAATGTGAAACATATATTAAGGAAAAATGAGAAAAGCGATTAAGTGTTTCCAAAAGTTGCCTTTTTTGTAGTTTCTGAACAAGTTTGAATAAGACATAATCTTTTTTTATCACTAAGCCAGAAGATCTGTCATTACATACTTCCCCATCAACATCTGTCACAAACTGCCCCATGCTCCACTTGGCGTTCCAATGTGACTTAGAGGTTACGGGTCTGTCCAAACCTCGGAGTGACATCGGAATAAGGGAGGGAGGGGTCAATAGTAATGATAGAAAAATTGCGCATCGCCAAATTGATGATACTCGCTTAGTACTGCAGGGAAAAACGAAAAGGAAAATTTGAAAATGTCGTTAAAATTGTCTTATTCAAAGCTTACATTCTCCTCAGCGCAAGCACATTGCATTTAACACAACAGGCTTGTGGTATATGTTTCTAGAGGTAAAAGACTTTGTTCTTTGCACCGAGGCTGATGCGAACAGTTAACAGCAGGGCCAACGCAGTGATTTGTCACTATGTGCCCCTGTCACTAAGTGTCCCCCTTCCCTTACCCCCTCCCCAACCCGAGGAGTGGGAGGGGGCACGATAGGTTGCCTCAATGAACAAACAGCGGTCTCGAGACAGAAATTCCCCATCTCTTGAACCGCTTACTATAGAGACGGAATAATTGGAAGCGCACATCCACCAATCTTTCGCCTTCAATAAGGGGCAGAAGTGGTAGCCTACCAACTAGGCGCACCCACATTCATTATAGTAATCTGTATTTGTTACGTCTTCTGTAATTTTAATGCACTTCGCTCAGCTACCCCGTGCATAGTGTTCACGCACGGGGCCCTACGTAATGCCATTGTTCCAATTAATTCCTCATGATGTCTGGGTACACAAAACACTTATTTTGACTTATTCTAATTGATTCCTGGTGTTTTCTTTGGGACATAGCTGAGACATACTTTATGGTATATTGTCCAAGTCTTTTTCAGTCTTTTTTTTGTCTGTGTCCTACATTGGTTACAAAGGCACATAAGAAAGCACGTCGAAAACACTTTTTGAAGACTTAATCTAAATATTTTCCAAAACTTGTCTACTCTACTTATGGCAATCGTTTCGTCAGAGTATATAAGCTGGTTCCGGATTAAATGTATTGTCTCTTACAGATTTATGTTGGAATCATTAATGGGGAGAAACATTTCGTTTAGAAAAAAGATTTAGCCGAGGCAGAGAAACGTAAGCGAAGTTGGCCAACCAGTTGGCCAACCAACCCATCCAACCTTACACGGAATCGACTTTCGACGATTTTTTTATATTTTTATTTTTTTTCAGCGCAGATGAAGCCAAAATGAAATACACGCAGTC